TCATAGCTGTGTTATATAGCTCTTCTCTTTTCTATCCTTCGACTTTTAAGGATCCGTTTTTCCCCATCTGAGGAGACTTCAATGAACTTCATTCATGGTACAGATTTGTCTAGGACAAGAAAAATTTTATTCAATACTCCCACGTAGTTCTAAATTCCATAATAATTTTTATTTTTACTTTCTCTCTTTAGGAAAATTCTAAATCATAGCCCTTAACTCTAGGCCAGGGTTTTAATTGAAAATCTATAGATTTGACTCCTTATCTGGCAATTTTACCTTGTGACTTTGCTTTTTCTGAGAAAATCCTAAAGATAGGACAGTGCATATAGGAGGTCAGGTGAAGCTGAATAGAAATATACAAGACATATGTATGCAAGGTGGGTGGGTTTGGGACTGTTACACAATCTTTGAGACTACTTTAGGTTAGAATTTTCTTTAAGGCCTTAACATAACAATTAAAGCAGCTGTTAACTGGTATTTTTCTCCTAATTTTTCCATGGCTCTTAAATGGCTTAGTTTGTTGATTTTGACTTGGTCAAGAATTCGGAGAAGGACAAACAGTGTATGTTCTCATTCATTTGGGGAATATGAATAATAGTGAAAGGGAATATAAGGGAAGGGAGAAGAAATGTGTGGGAAATATCAGAAAGGAAGACAGAACATAAAGACTTCTAACTCTGGGAAATGAACTAGGGGTGGTGGAGGGGGAGGAGGGCGGGGGGTGGGGGTGAATGGGTGACGGGCACTGAGGGGGACACTTGATGGGATGAGCACTGGGTGTTATTCTGTATGTTGGTAAATTGAACACCAATAAAAATTAATTTATTAAAAAAAAAGAGGCACTTGTCAAGAAAAGCACAGAGTTAGGATTATAGTGGACTTTAAAATAGGAAGACAAAGTTCCTAAAGGACAAAATCAAGACCTTGGCTTAGGCAAACCATGACACATAAGAAAGAGCTTCTATGGCTGGTCAACAGTCTGTGCCTATGAGTAGTGTCTCAGGATCCCTGACCAGAGACTAGCAAGGGGCCATACAATCACCAACCCAACATTCATTGAGGTGTAATCCAACTAAACAAAGTGGCATTCTTTTGCAAATTAAGAAGACAGGAAGTTCCCTCAAATTTTGTAAAGGACCTAAAGCAAAGTTTGATTAATTGCTTTCCCACAAATTGGTCTTAGGTCTAACAGTCCTCAAAACATTAGCCCTCAGGTCTGGCTTGGAATGGATTAGAAGCTTTTCAAGCCAATGCCTTACCGAGCAATCCTTTTTACATTCAACTGAAAGGCTCTCCAGGAAAAGGGTTTAAAAATTACCCTATAGAAAAAAAAAATTACCCTATGAAACCAAAGACTTTGCACATATAGACAAGAGCAAAAGCAAAGCAACTGGCAGTAGAATAAGTACTTTGATGGCATAACAAAAATATTTGCTAAATGGTACACCTCCAGGACAAGAGATCTAGGAGGCTTACCCAAAAATCTAAGTTCATTAGCAAATGGTATACATCTCTGTCAAAGGTCTAGTTACTTGATACATAAATCTAAGCCTAAAGACCTTAAATGAAGACACTTTTGGTTACAAGTCCTAGGATAACAAAATGCGGAGAGCAAGAAACGCCCAGCAGGGCCGGTTGGAGATGTTGAGACTGGTACCCCTGGCTGCAGACCCTGAGTGCAGTGAATGCACCTGTGGTCCAAACATGGCAGACCTTCAAAATAGAGGGTCTTCAAAATGATCTCAGTGGACAATCTAGAACTGTCTAAGGACGATACAAGCACTGCACAGTATCTGAAATAGAAATACAAACCAAACCTATTACTTACTACAGTAAGAAAAAAGCTGTTTGTCAAGTACTGTCTCTAGAGCAGAGCAGAATGCTGACCATCTATGGGGACTGGGGACAGCATAGAGTCCAGGACCTGGAGGGCAGTGAACAGACGTCACCCTAAAGTGGGGTTACTTGGTGAGATTGTCATCAATTGATTGGCACTCAGAGAAGGGTTTATTGGAGTGAGTCCTACCATAATTGGCTGACTTTCAGAAGCAAGAGCAGCCGTGGATTGGTTGGTATGCAAGTGTACATTCACAGAGCTGTACGGTTCCTGATCAACAGAAGATATTTAAACATGTAACAAGGCTTCTTGTTACCAAAGCTACAGAACAATCCGTCTTTTCCTAAGTTTGTTGGGAAGTTTGAAGAATGTTTTCACTCTTTCCCTTGTGGAGTCCTCCCTTAAAGTGCAAGACCATTTCTAGCTTAAGCATCCTGGATTATCTGTCCATCTTGCATTCTGACTGTGGTCTGGTCTAATCTGCAAAGCACCCCAAAACCACACTTCTAATGTAAGAGTCTTCATCTCTGAACTTCAGAGATGGTGGTAATCTGGTGGTAATTACCCACTACTGGTGGTAATCTATTGATTATCCGTGATATTAGTAGGCAGGTGAAGCCAAATGGTTAGAGGAAATTAAAGAAACATACTAGATTTATGAATAACCAATTATTATTTAGCATATAACCACTTTGGAAAAATGAGTAGCCTGGAACATAAGTACATGTGCCCCCAAAGAATGCATTCATTTGGAGAGATGAGGCTAATTGTTCACTTAGAAAAAATTTATGTATGAATCCTAAATTGTGAGATATGTGCACAATTCTCACTGTAAAAGATACAGTGTTACAAAGATAATTAAGAAAAGTTTAATTTGGCTTGAATTCTCATTTTCTTTACCCTACCACTTCTTTTTCTGTGAATCTAATGAGCATGTCAAGTAATTGATAGAGTAATTAATAGAATTCAATTCTCCAGACTCAGTTAGGTGCTTTATTGCCATCATTGATTAACAGAGAGCAAAGAGCTTTGGAGTCCCTGAGTCAGAAAGCCACAGGGTGAGTGACCATAAGACATTAGACAACTAGAAACCTAGAACCTCCCAAACAGCAAAGATCCTCCTCCCAGCAGACCCTCTGAAGAATCATTTTGAATCAGTGACCCTCTTTCTCAGTCAAGTGACTTGGTGTTGAATGCTGCACCAAGAGAAATATTGATGCTGATCGACAGTCAGGACCAGAATTTTCCTTCAGTTTCCATCTTTGGAAAGTAGGGGAAAATGGTTTCCCCAATGCCATTTTGGGATTGAATTTTATCAAGAAATTGGTGGATTTCTGTTTTATGTTGAAAAATGAAACTAAATATTATGTTTGCATTTTTGCAAATGAATTTCCTGCAATACCAGACATGCACTAATAACCTAAGAAAGCTTGCTATGGTTCCATCTCAGGGTGAGATTAGGGTATGGAAAGAGAGATTTTCACTTTTCATTTTATGTATGTCTTTAAGAGTTGCAGTGTTGTGGACTCTTTGTTCCAATATTTAGGATCTTTTTTTTCTTTTAAGATTTTATTTATTTATTTGACAGCACAAGCAGAGGGGGAGGGTAGAGGGAGAGGGACAAGCAGACTCTGCTGAGCAGGGAGCCCGATGGCTCAATCCCAGGATCCTGGGACCATGACCTGAGCCAAAGACAGATGCTTCACTGACTGAGCCACCCAGGCACCCCATGATCTTTTTGATTGTATAATGCTTGGTGTTCCACTGTTCTTCAAGTAAATGACAGGAAGGCTGTCATACAAATTTAATAATTCACATATCAACTACTATTACCTTAACTATAGTGTTCCTATTTATACCGCAGTTATTTTATATGACAAATAAGTTGATTTCTTTTGACTCCAATTTACAGATGTGGCCATGGACTGGTTAAGTGGGTTAGGTTAATGAGAATGACCTTCTGGCCTGGTCTTTTGCCTAAAAGGTTGTGTGCTGCCTGAGAGAGAGCTGTGTGATTCTCCTTTGCAAATGCACTGGGGTCACAGAATGCTGGGGTTGAGAAGAATGATATTGAATGATATTTAATGTCTATATAGTCTCACCCTCTAGCGAATGTCCCAAATCCTAACTGGACCAGTTAAGTTGCTAGTTTGGTAAATCTACCCATTGTAATTTCTCCATATTTAGGCTGCCTTCTCATCAGACATTCCTTATTTTCATTCCCCAAAGACGTAAGTAAAAGGACTGAAATGGAAGGAAGAGCCCAGAAATCCTACTTCTCTGGGAAGGGCCTGGAACGTAGAGACTGATTTTGCAGAAACCTATCCAAAGGGAACCTGGGAACACCCAACTGGGGAGACTCCAAGAATTTGGGGTCTATTTTCCAAGAAAACTGGGGGAGAAGGACACAGAAAAAGCCCTGAAGGAGATAAGTGTCCTGGTGAGTGAACTGTCCCAAACAGTTGTAGGAAACTGAAACCAGAAGAAAAATTCTAGAATATTTAGGGAGGATTCACACAAACACAGAAAGTTATTAAAATTTCAGAAAATCAGGCTTTAATTGTATAAGGATTTGGTAAGAATTTAGTACCCTTTGGATTACTCTCATGTACCTTTGTCACTAAATTAAACGTACTGAAGGACCTGTATAGTAGTGTATTTCGGTTTTCCTCTCTGAGTAGGCAGCAATAGGGAATTCAACTTCATCACACTTATTGTGGATGCTCCCACTTTCCTTCCATTTCTTTTTTTTTATGATAGTCACAGAGAGAGAGAGAGAGAGAGAGAGAGAGAGAGAGAGAGGCAGAGACACAGACAGAGGGAGAAGCAGGCTCCATGCACTGGGAGCCCGACGTGGGATTCGATCCCGGGTCTCCAGGATCACGCCCTGGGCCAAAGGCAGGCGCCAAACCGCTGCGCCACCCAGGGATCCCCTCCTTCCATTTCTAAGATGTAACAAGCACCCCAGCTCTGTCCCCATGTTTTCACAGCTGAGGGTGGGCTCTGCAGTTTGCCAGTTTCCCTTCTCTTTAATCAAGGACCTTTTCTTCAAGTCGGTGCATAGGATCCAGGCACCAGGGTCTGAGTTTCTGAGTTCAGCCTCCACATGTTTGACAGGCATAAGAAGCTGGCTTTTCATGAAGCTTCTGCTTATCTTTTCCAGGCAAAGACCTCTACTCAGCAGCCCCAGATGGTGTTCACTGTCCGCCACACCACCGTCACCTTCCAGACAGAAGGGGACACGTGGAGGGAACAGAAAGACCAGAAAGCTGCCCTGATGGTGGGCATCCTCATTGGGGTGTTTGCACTCTGCTGGATCCCCTTCTTCACCACAGAGCTCATCAGCCCCCTCTGCTCCTGTGACATCCCCGCCATCTGGAAGAGCATCTTCCTTTGGCTCGGCTACTCCAACTCCTTCTTTAACCCCCTGATCTATACAGCATTCAACAAGAACTACAATAGCGCCTTCAAGAATTTCTTTTCTAGGCAACACTGAGAATGGCACCTGGGCATAAGAATGAGTAACTCAGTGAAATTTCCAATTCCATCCACTTCCCCATCCCTACACAGCACCACATGAAAAAGGCAAGCCCATGAAGTTTTCCAGGGTTGCCTTCAGAACTGGCCCTCACCTCCATACTCCTAGGTAGGGATGTGGTTCTTCACAGTCCAATTTTGGCAACCTTATTGATCTAAATTACCTATTATTTCTCACTTGGCACCTAACAGCCACAGACCTTTGCCCACAAAGTACCCATTCCACCCCCAAATCCACTCCAGCGTGGTCATTGTCCTTGCCCCAGAGAAGTCAAACAAGGCAGATGAGAGGGAAGAAATCAAGCAACATGAACAGGTTGAGAATGGATAGAAAATGTTGAGGAAGAAGTCAGAATGGGGTAGGAAAACCGTAATTCCCAGTTTTCTGGAATAGTCCTTATTTTGAAATGCCATTCTATGGTCCTGGTGAGTATAACCTAGTACTTATTGTGTATGTTCCAATGTTTGGCTACAAAATATTGTCTCTAAACCTATTAAAGTACATAGTCACAGCTGCAAGACCAGTGAATATTGGCTTTGTTTGTGGCAACCATGCTCGTGCGTGCACGTGCACACACACACACACACACACACCAATGAAAGTGGTGAATGTCCCCATTGGCTAGTTTATTCTAAAACTCAACCCATCGACTTGGAACAGGAACTAAAAATCAAGTCAAATACCTCCTTCCATTCTGAAGCAACTACATATGAACAATACTTAAATCCAGTGGTTTCATAGAATCTGCCAAACGTGCTTATTTTCTATGGGTTTTATTTGTATGGAATTTATTCAGCTGTTGCAGGACAAAGACTCTGTCCTTGGATCATGGGATTAGAGGAAAACAGTTGTCATGACGTGGATGATTTACCTCAGTAGAGTTTCATAACCAAGGGCTGTAAAGCTACACTCACCAAACACGTACACTTTAGAGGGACAGTTGGCTAATTTGCTGTCTTTTTATTGGTGTGTGAACCGCTGCTATGAGGTCAACACTAGCAACTAGTGAGCCTCCGTTCCTTACAATGTGACCCTTCTGTGTAAATGAGTCAAGGCAATAAAGTGATAGTACAGTGTTGATATGATCATATAAAATCCAGGCCACTATACAAAACTTGGTAAAGGTCTCAGACAATAAAACTGGCTGTGGTCCACTATGTCCCTGATTCTTTGAATGCATGAATTTAAAAATCACATATTATAATAATCTTTGAATTATTATAATAAACATGTATTCTTTCATATATAATAAATTATACCAAAATTTCAAAAATAGAAAATTTATGTTATTTTGTAGTCTTGGAAGTTTAGCCTTGCATTCACTGCGAAGATTCCTTACTCAAAGAATGTGAGCAAGATGAGGAAATGTTGCACAGTTTTTGTGAGGTCACCCCTGACGATGCTAAGTGCAAACCTCTTACCCAGGCATTGAAGCAAATTCCTGGAAGGATTTCCTTGGAAACATTCTTAGATTTCTTTTTTCCTTCTGTATATATCTGTGGAAGGGCCAGGCCCACAAATATTTTAAAATACAGATTGTTCACTTACTTGAGGTACCTTCCCCGCTATTACTTGGAACCAGAGAGGCCACCAAATCCTATTAGATTCTAGTATTATAGTAAAGGAAGTGCTTCCAAAATTTCACTAGTCTCCGTTAGCAGAGAAGGCTACAGTAGTCACGGGGAACCTGTAGATAGACTGTCGGAGCCAAGGGCAAAATTTTTAAAGTCTATTCTATCTGAAAGTTCTCGTGAAATTCATGATACTCTGTAATTGCAATGTTTGTCTTCCTGTTTTTTAAAGGTTTATTTCCCTCAAACTTTTCAGCAAAGTGAGGCTTTAGGAAAATGTGCCACGTTTGTCTGGTGGCTTCAAAAACTCCGGACTCCCCCAGGATTCTGTGCACTTTGCTGGAGAAATAGGTTGTCATAATATTAATTTCAGTCTCTTGCTGAGGTCATTAATATTTCTGTGAGATGTGTAAGTCCTGTTACGGTGAGTATTCAGTTCATATTTTACGCCTCCCAGATGTCACTTAAAATACACATCGTAGGAAATGCTCTGCATATGCCACCCCAGGGCAAGAAACACTGCCCACTGAAGGTAGAAGTAGCCACCAAAGAATTATTTTGCTTCTATTTCGCTACCCAAAGTTACGGATGACTCAGTGGGAAATAGGACAAAACGCAAACCAAAATGTTTTTGAACTGGGGTGGTGACTGCGCCAGCGCCCCCAGCCGCACTCTGGTGCCCACCCGCAGCCCTGATGCTCAGTTCTACCTATGGGGGTCCCCTTCCCCAGCAGCCCCAGGAGGGGTGCAGGGCCAGGTCAGCTCTCTGCTGAGGGCGCTGCAGCCCTGGGGTCACCCAGCCTCACACCGGTGCTCTGTTCGTGCTGACCCATACTGTGTGCCCGGGGACGCTGTCTCTGGCTGTACTGCAGCTTCTGTTGATAGGAACGAGGGGGGTCCAGCCCCCAACCCAGACAGGCACACTCAAGGGTGGTGGCATTCAATATGACAGTCTCTCCAGCTTGGCTGGAGCCAAACCTGGGGGTGTTGCAGGCTGAGTTGTGTCCCCCCAGAACTCGTGTGTGATGTCCTAACCAACCCCCAGTCCCAGAGGGCATGACACATGTGGAGGCCACTAAGGTAAAGTGAGGTCAGGAGGGTGGGACCCGATCCAGGGTGACTGGTGACCCTATAAGAAGGGGGGTGAGGGCACAGGTACATGGAGGGACAGCCACGGGGGGGGGGACACGGGGAGAAGACGGCCATCCACACTCCAGGCAGGGAGCCCTGGGAAGGGACCAGCCTACAGCAGCATGATCTCCGACGCCCGGGCTCTAAAACAGGGAGAATGAATTTTGTGTGTTTAAACTGCCTGGTCTGTGGTACTTTGCTAAAGTGGCCAAACACAGCAACACAGGATGGGGTCAAGGTCAGGGTCAGGGTCAGAGTCATCTTGACGGCAGGCGGAGCCCTACAAGTGACCACCAGGCAGGGTTCCCCCGTGAGCTGTTGGAGAAGCTTCATGAAGGCAGGTGACCCAGAACCTCCTGTTTGCCATCAGAGAGACCTATGTCCTCTGCCCTGACCATCACATTCTAGGAGATGGAGGTCCCTCCCAGGTTGGAGAAGGAGGTCTGGAGAGCATGGGTGTGGAGGGGACTGGAGGGGCCGCCTCTCGTGGGCCTTCCTCATCTTCCTGCCCCTCAAGGCACATGGGGTCCCCCAGGCACTGAGCTGTCCCTGCAGCAAGGTCACCAGGAAGGCGGGGTGCATGGCAGGAAGCACTCACAACCACCCCAGTTGCTTTGGCATCACCACTAATAAGTACGCTCTTCAATATTTTACCACAAAGGGGCTGCCTTTCGCTGTCACCAAAGATGGTGTTTTAGAATCTTTTTGACAGTTTGTCTAATGAGCTTAATTTTTCCTCTGCATTTTGGAACCCATCTAAGGTTCAAATGAGGTCAAGAGGGAAGGGCTCTAGGGACATAACGCTTGCCGTGTGGTGTGTCACAAGTGCAGCTGGACAGATGGGCCTGGCAGGGAGCTCGGAGCCACCTGTAGGAACAGAACTGACTGCCTGGCTCTTCTGTCCATTAGTTGTGGCTTTACATGAGGCCAGCGGGTGAGTATGAGACACGTGGGACAGTGGTTCTTGGCGTCACCAAAACTATGGGAGAAAATCAGAGTTTGGGGATGCCTCTGCATGCGTGTGTACATGTGTGTGTGCATGTGCGCATGCTCATGTGACTTACAGAGAATGAACAAGGCTGCAAAAGTGAACAGCCAGCTAGAGGGCTGCAGGCTCTGGGAGCTGAAAGCAGCAGCAGCAGTGCCCAGCTTACAGCGGAGCAGCCTGGGTCACTGACTCTGGCCACCAGTGCACAGCACTCTCTAGTTGTCTGGTGGCTTCAGTTCTCCTCCACTCAGCTGCCCCAGCACCACACTCTACCCAGCGAGGCCTAGAGTTTGTTGTGCTATCTGGATGTATCATGTGTTGTCCACTGTTGGGCTTTTACCAATTTTGTTAAAGACTGTTTTCCAGTTGACACCTACCATCAACACATCAAGCTTCAGCTAAAATGTTGGTATTTTTTACTAACAGTGCATTAAATAAATGCCTACATGCCTACATGGACTTAAGGAAAGCTGTTGTGGTTCCAATGCCGAGCTGTCCTATCTGAGAGCAAGGGACATCCTCATGAGATGTTCACACCTTCGTTCCCTCCCACTCCACCACCAGCCCGCCATGTCTTAGCTCTCTCTCCAAAGTCTCTCCTCAAACCATCTGTGAGGCCACTCACACATCTCAGGACAGAGTTCCCACTACAGATTCACTGAACTTTGGGGAGCCCACCAGCAGTTTGAAACAAAAGGCCTCAAGACATAGTAATGCTGTGAGGCTCTGCACCCCCACACAGCTGGTTTCCTCCATGTGGTGTAAAGACAGAGGGTCCCCAGGAGGTGCTGGCTGCCCTGATTCCCAGAAATTGTATGCGAGGGCTCAGTACCCAAATCACCCCAAATGCACCACTGTGTCAGCGGCTGTGCAATTCAGCCTTCCCCTGGGTAATGACCTCTCTACCTCAATGGAGCCTGGAATGCCGGGCCTGCAGTTTTCCGTCAGGGGGCAAAGAGCCAAGGAATGTAGGGACTTCAGGTTTTGGGGCTGCTCGTGAGAATCTCAAGTCTGGCCTCGGAAGATGGAAAAAGCAACAGTGCTGAGGAACAACTTCCCAAGAAGTTGGCCTAGGAATGAGAGCCAGGGCTTGACTTGTTTATACAAACAGAAAGGTGGAGGTCCAGCTATCTCATCTCGAAGTCAACTGTCCCTGCTTCGAGGGGAGCTGACGTGAAGAATATATGTAAGAGAAAGTTGTATCTGACTCACAGTCTGCATACCAGCTTTTTCTTAAAGTCTGGGCAGGTACAACGTGGGAGGATTATCAAGCGAGGTGGCCTCCTCTCTGGGCAGCTTTTATTCCTGGGGTGGTTTTGGTGCAGCCCTGCGGCATAGAAGACCACTAGCCCAGGTGAGCAGCTTGCCAACTGAGCAACAGGACCCTTGCACCAAGTGTGCACACCATCCGGAGGACACTCATGGGGAAAAACTGGAGGCTGCTGGGGGCAGGTGGCTCTCCTCCTCCTGCCCTTCCCGGATTGCATGACACCGAGAAGCCTGCTGGTTTAGTTATTGCCTCACACACACGGGTTTGTTCTCTGCTCCTGCGGCCAAAATCCCCAAGGGGACTTGCCTGAGATGCTAACGTTCCAAAAGTTGCACGTCTCCTCTCTGCACATCCAGGGTGAGGTAGCTTTCTGATGTGAATGCCTCGGAAGGCTGGCCTGAAGGGAACGGCTGGTTCACACCTCCTGGTGTGAACTACTTTAGGAAATAATGACCGTTTTTCTTCACCACCGTCCATCCTAGCGATGCCTCTGTGCTCTCGCAGAAGTGTCATGTTTGCAATGAAATCATCATTCCCTTCCTTGGTCCTTGGAAGACTCTGAGGCAGCTCCTGAGAGAACCAGACAGTAATGTTATTGGCATAAAAGCTGTAGGTGCTTCGGAAGCCTTGTCAGGACATCGAGGTGGGGAGGATTATTATACTTTTCTGGAAGTGTAAATGGTGCTTACCATGGTGGTCACTGTCCTTTACAGATCCTGGGGAGCCTGGGAACTGAGGCGCCAAGTATGAAGGGGATGAAGCAGGAGGCACAGAAAGAGACCCCGTTAGCAGTGTGGGCCCTCTGACCGCACTGCGGTGGGGAGCACGGCTCTGCCAGTGTTCCTCTGTGAAGGACTCCAGGGGACTCTCACTGGCCCTAAAGGACCATTGCGGTGTACGTTCCTCATGACTGCGGGAAGCCTGCCTTTGTCCTGGCTCGCGCAATGTGAGCTTATCTCTTGCTCCTTGGCTGCCAGGTGCCCTCCTGTGGGTCCCAGGGCAATAATTAATATGATGACAAGTCCTATTTATGCCCAAAGCACTGGACCTTAGTTAGGTAAGTTCCTCCAAACGTGGAAGGCATACTTGTGGGCTGAGGTCCTGGTGGGAGATTATGGCATGGCTTATAGATCCAT